ATTTATACTGAAATAACGCAAAATAATTGCAACATCATCAACAAGTTTTAGAGAACCATAAGAGAGTAAAACCTTGCATCAATATAAAGAAGATTCTTACTTCAAACTGAGATTATTTTTTATATATTTCATCATCTTCATTATCAAAATAAAATATTATCTTTTCAAAGTTAAAAACAACTTTAAACTACAAGTTTCACTCACATTAAAAGCTTCCATAGGCAAACAACATTTTACATACAATTCATCAAGGATTTAATACCATTGTTACCCCCAATCACTAATATGTTGAAATTGGACAAATTCTATTGGATCTCAGCTACACAAAATTTTAGATCAAGTTAAGGTTTTGATTACTTTTTCCCTAGTCCTGAAACTTCCTGACTTTCCTAAGATATTTGAAATAACATCAAGAGAACCATCAGGTATGATTCTATAGCGGGAAGTTGAATGAAGCAACTCGATGATAATTCAACTTATGATGAGAAGTTTTATAATGTATTTCAATACTTGAGACAATTGCGACACAAACTTTTATATAAAATTTTATTATCAACTCTGATAATCATGCCCTCATTTATCAACACCTAACAAAATCTGATTCATAGACTTGCTAAATGGATTAAGTTTATCCAAAAACCACTCATTCATCTTCAAACATAAACCTGAAAATAAAAACAAATAAGCCGATGCCTTATCTATGGTGACCTCACCGATCTCTTCATTATAACTAAAAAAAAAAAACTAAATCCAACTGAATTAGACATGTATACCCCGTGTGCCCTGATTTTAACATAAATTTACTTAAAACAGTTAAAAAAACATGTTACCTTACAAGGAACATTCTCAATTATCAAAGGATATTTGTACAGTGGAAACTAGATCTACCTCAAGTTACAGCCTAGAGGAAGTCAATTCAGGAAAGATAAAATCACTTGTTCAATAGAAGATCATTTTTTTGGCATTCATTTAAGCGAGATGTTCAAAAATTAAAGACCTGATGTCTAACTTACAAACAAGCAAGAGCCATCAAACAAAATTACGAAATATATTGCCTTATTTGTTCCATATCAACCATGGGAAGATTTGTCCAATGATTTTGTCTTTGGATTACCCAGAATGGCTCTAGCATATCATGATATGTCTGTGATTGTAGATAAGTTCTCAAAAGGGCTCATTTACTGCCCCACTCTAAAACTACCGATACCTCCTCTCACATCACTAAGTTATTCTTCAAGGAAATCATGCAATTATATGGCCGTCCTTTACCAATTATTTCAAATTGAGATATCAAATTGAGATCTTAGGTTTATTTCTTACTTCTAAAAAATTACTAAACTAAAATTTTCATATGATTTTCATCCTCAAAAAAACAATCAAATTAATTACTCGCATGAATTTTAAAAAACCTACTTAGGCATCTTAAAAAATTAGAATTCGCATTAGCCTATCTAAGAATTTACTTACAATAATACTTTCTCAAGAACCCCAAAAACGTCACCTTTCAACATTGTGTCTGGTCAAAACCAAGATGGCAATTGACATGACCGATTTAACATCCCATGCCTTCTATGATTATGCATTCTTATTAGCCAAAAACTTTCAAAGCTTCCACCCACAAAAATATAAGAAAATAAATTACGATAAACAAAGACAAATACACTTCTAAGGTAAATCTTATTTCCCAACTAAAGAATTTATATAAGGTGATTAAGTTTTGATTCAAATCTGCACTAAGCATTACCAAACCACAAAGTATAAGAGCATAAATATAAGGGCTTAAATTGTTTTAAAATTCTTGCTAAAATTAAAACTAATATTTATCACATTGATTTGTCTACTGATATGCTAATCCATCAGCTGTCAATACTGAAAAATATTTTGTAACATTAAAGAGTTAACAAACTTGTGCTTGTTGAGATTAACTATTTAGTACATGGCATAATTCCACTCTATGCATTAAGTAGCTGCCCCCACTTCTTTCTCTCAAATTTTTCCTAATAATAAGGTAAGTCAAAGATATTTTTATGCTTATAAATGGACTAATAAGCATTGTATTTTTTTTTAATTTAGAATAGAACTTTTAGTGAAACAACTCTCTTCTCATTGATTGGTTCTTAATGGCTTCAAAATGTGTCTTTCTTCAGTGAAATTGGTAGTTACCCTTCCTCTACTCTTTAAATTTAAGTATCATTCCTCTAAACACCTGCTCCAAACCTTCCTCAAGCTTCCTCCATAACCCAAGCATATTCCAAAATAAGCAGTTCAAACCCCAAGGCGCAAAATCATTCCAAATCTGTCCAACTAAAAAAAAAGGTAAATAAAATATTGTTTATCAAAACATTGAAATATTATTTTAGTATTTAGTTTTATTTTACTCTAAATGATATTTCACATTCAGCCAAACAAATTTTGGTAAATAAAATACATTATTTTTATTTTATTCAAAATCCTTAAAATGATTGAATTATAAATACACCCAAACAAACAAAACTTGCAGAGTTTTTCGTTCACAATTTTTTAAGCTTAATATCAGCGTTTTAAAACTTTTATTTTACCTTCATAGTAGCATGCAATCATGGCATAGTCGTAGCGTTCATTAGACGGCTCTGACTTGACTTATTTCTCCATCGAGATTGGAAAGTTTTTTTTTCTTATTTCCATACGTAGACAAATTTCATGGCCGAGTAATAGAGATTGGTTTATTTGAGCATAATATATTATGGCATTCAGTGATAGTGGTTATTTATCAAAACATTGAAATATTGTTGTATTATTTTAATTATTATTGTTATATAAATATTGTTGTATTCTCTATAGTTAAACACTGTCATCATCAAATCCCAAGTCCTGTATGAGAAAAGTGAATGGTTGTTTTAGGTAGTCGATAGCCAGCATAAAAAAAATAAAGTGAATGGTTGTTTTAGGTAGTCGATAGCCAGCATAAAACTTGTCGAATAATTATAACATGAATCATTTAATGCATTGTGTCAATGCAAGGTCATTCCCTGAAAGCAACGCACTGTGGCCTAAATACAGCGAAAAGTGTGCAAAGGTCGCTGCACCGGCACCCGGGTGCATGTTAAACAGGTAAGGGTTCCCACATCATAAACGAATGTGGGCAAAGAAGTTAGTCAACTAAGCTAAAATTATGATAAGAACTTACAATACAAGTTCCCTTACCAACAAATTAATAGAATTAATAGATAATATGATTCATAGGAAGATAAATATTCTATGCATTTAGGAAACTAAATGGGTTGGAAAGAAGACTAAGGAGATTGATAGTTTAGGATTCAAACTATGATATTTTTGTGAGAGTCGTACTAGAAATGATCTATGTATGATTATAGATAAGAGTTTAAAGGATAATGTTGAAAAAATTAATAGAATTGAATATAGAATTATAATTTTAAAGATTGTGGTTGATATTAAGAATATTAAATATTATAAGTAATTATCCTCCTCGAGTAGGTTTTGAAAGTTACTTTTAAAAAAAGAGTTTTTATTGGAGGAGATTTAAATTTACATGTTGGTAGAGGTAGATGATTTTAAAAGCATTCATGGTTCTTATAAATTTGAAGCGACTGATGAAGGTGGTAACACCACTTTAGATTTTGTTATAGCTTATGATTTTATAATTGCTAATATCTTATTTAAAAAAAGAGACAAATCTCATCACTTACAAAAATGGATATAGTTAAACTTAGATTGATTATTTTCTTATAAGAAAAATAGACCGTTTAGATTGCAACGTTGTAAAATTATTATGAGTAAAAGTTTATGTACCCAAGATAACTTATTAGATTTGGATTTTAAGATGTAGGGGCAGAATAAAAAAATAAAATAAAACGTTGGTCTAGGATTAGCTTGAGGCATTTAAAGAATATTAACAAAAATACTTTTGAAAGTAAGATTCTAAATCTTAAGATTTTATTTGTGCGTGACGAAGCGAATGTTATGTAAGAAAAAGTAGCTATTAATATTAAGAATGTTGCAAATGATTTGTTTGAAGTGTCAAAGGGAAAAACTCCTAAAAGTAAAAAAATAATTTGTAATAGAATCAAATTGTGCAAGCAAAAATCAAAATAAGAAGCTTTGTTAAAATGTTAAATGTAAAAACTCTGATTGGGAAAGATATATAACGGCTCATAAGGAGTCTAAAAAAGCAATTTGCTATGTAAATATTTTAACTTTTAACTATTTATATAATAGATTAGATGTTAAAGATAACGAAAGATATATGTATAAGTTAGCCAAACAATAGAAAGTAGTAGTAAAATTTTAGTTCAAGTGAAGTGCAATAAGGATGAAGATCAAAAATTGCTTTTATTAGAATAGGGTATTCAACAAAAGTGAATGAGATGTTTTGCTAAACTTTTTAATGAATATTATAAAAATATGATTGACTTTAATGACCTTAGCACACTAAATGATTTTTTATTTATAAACGTATTAGTAAAATCAAAGTTAAAGAAGCTTTAAAAAATGAAATGTAGAAAAGCTGTTGGACCTGATGATATTCCAATAAATGTGTGAAAATGCTTAGGAGATCGAGGAATTTCTTGGCTTACTAAACTTTTAAATACTAATTTCAAGCATAAAAAAATGTCTGATGAGTGGAGAATGAGTGTGTTGATTCCTATTTTTAAAAATAAAGGTGATGCACAAGATTGTGCAAATAATAGAGAAATTTAAGTTGATGGGTCATACTATAAAACTATGGGAGAGAATTATGGAGCATAGGTTATGACCAAAACCATAGAGAGTTATAGAGCATTGAGTTAGGGAGCAAATACATTATGGAAGCTTGATGAAGATAAACATAAGTGTAATATAGACAAGTTATGTGATTTGTTGTATTTGCCTTAAAAAAGTATAGATTTGGATTGAAAATGGAAGACCGAGACCATATCTTGATTATTGAAAAAGACGCAGTTTTGCCACAATCAAAAGAAACAAAAACAAAATATTGAGTATAACAGTAAATGGTTTGATACCTTTATTTAAAACATATCCTGTCAAGTGACAAGAAATTAAACGTACTTCAGATTGTCACCAAGCACAACACTGCGCATGTGCTTGAGCACCAGAAGATGAAATCATAGTCCAACTATAGCTCTAGAACATCTGCATGTAGGTTAGGTGGAAAGAAAAAGAAAAATACATAAAATAACTAAGGTCATAGAAAAAAAAATGAAATAAACTTCAATTTGAGGACAAAGATATCAAAGAAGATGAAATGTTAATTTAAGAAATCAATAATAGAGAGTTATTGGAACTGTTGTTGTAGTACACAAAAAAAGAATAGTAATGAAATTTTAAATTAACTAATGCTAAATGATTCGGTGAAAAACATTTTGGCCACATAACCAAAGAGGAAAAAATCCAACCAGTATAACAGACAAACTTGGTTAAAAAATTATCCTTCCAAGTGAAAACTGGAAATTGCACGTACTCCAAATTGATCATCAACCACAACTTTTAACACATGACAATTCCATAAGCTAAAATCATAGCCCATCTATTAAATACCTGCCAGTAAACTTTGTACAGAGCAATTGTACTCCACAACGGTCAAAACCTAACATAAAAAGAGTCATATTTCTCCTTCGAAAGGATGTCCAAAATACAATGATATTGTCATGTCAACAGAACGAAGTGGTATTTCTAGCTCCAATAACAAATCAAAGTAACAAAGTATCAGGTAAAACTGAATTAAGAAAGATGATCATCAGAGATTCCACATTGCATACAAATTTACTCCAATCTACAGCAAATAGCCTAGGTCATCCCAATGATCAAATACCAATGCAGGAATAATTTACTTTTATAATGGCCTTCAAAAAAATTAAGCCCTCTTAAAAGCCACAAGAACAATCACAATGGTTTTGCCTCACACATATAAGCCTCTTTGGTGAAAGGCCTCAACTGCCGATGATGGAGATCATACATATTTTTCTTCTCAGCTGAACAATAATGACAAAATATTGAAATCTTCCTACTATTTTTCCTTGTAGATGCATAAAATTAGTCATTCCCTGTATCACCTCAGTAAATGACAAGGAATTCACCACACCAGAGGCAACTTTCGATCACCACTCCATAATCAAGAACCAAAAGGATAACTAAATAGTTGAATGAACGCCAACATATCAGTATTATCATCTGTTATAAGTTTTCCCAAAAAATATCATAAAGAAGCCACATGTATGTCATCTTATGTTTGACTGACTCCAGAATTACAAACCCAAAAACTTCAAGTAAAAGCTCTAATTCCAATCAAAGTCATCATATAATGACAGAAGTCCTATTCCAGACATCAAAGTCATCATATAATCTGAAACCTAAGTCACTCATAGGAAAATAACCTGCGACTAACTGACATTAGCATATTCATGATAGAAGAAGAAACGACTCAAATATGATAATAAATAAGCGTTGCAATCAACAAAAGTGATGGTTTTGACATCGAAGGATGTCCCTCATATCCCTTCATCTGCCGGCACACTCTGAATCTTCAGATTTCTGAAAAGTACCAAAAAAATGAATTTACAATTAGAGGTCGCCAAACATTATATTACAAATACCTGAGCAATAAGATGTTTAAAGCTTATAACTATTACCGTCTAATAATAATAACCACCTCCAGAAGGCTCTCCTCCATAGAAAGATGAATATGAGCTACCACCGTACTGCATAGTTGCAAGAAAAAAGTTGCAAATTGAAAAATATTTGCAGAGAGAAGCATAATTAAGTACTTACATCAGAACCATAGTAATCACGTGAATATAAACTAGACGTTCCCAGAGAATCTGCAGAATAGAGGGACTAGTTAAATTAAATAAGCATATTTTTTTAAAACGTAGAAACTTGATCCTCCAGAAAAAAGTTTATGCATAAAAGAAATATAATGCAACTTAAAAAAAGCAAACTAAAACATCAATAAAAAAAAACCTCGATAACGAGGAGCAACGGAGAGTGGGTCAGGATGATCATAACGAGGACGTATTCTACTAGTAGGTTCAAGGTAACTAGAATCTTGCTCCTGCAAAAAATATTCGTAAACGAGTTACAGAAAGATAAATCCACTAAATGAGTAAAAAAAAGTCATTTGCTAACCATCATAGGAAAAAAAACATCATTTAAATTAAAAAAAAAATTTATGCCATCTACTAACCATCACAGAAAACGGACGCTTAAGTCCTCCACGTCCTCCACCATAATAGTAAGGATCTTCCCCAAATTGTGTGGTACCAAAATGTCCACCAAAATCCCCTTCTGGGGTATAAGGCGGCCTTCTAGACGGAAATCCTCTGCCAAGACCTCTATCAAAAGCACCAACCCTTCCAGATGTAGAACCTCTTCTGCCTCCTGCAATAATGATATCATAGAAGCTAAACCATTACTCAAACATTACGAGTAGGCAAACCATCTAGTACCTCGGACTCCGTAAGGCCTCCAGCCATGAAATTCAGGATATGGCATTTCAACATCATCAGATGCATGAGAAAACCTTCCTCCCCTACCACGACCACGTGGATAAAAACCCCTGCCGCCCTGAAACCCTGCCCTGTTGGAAGGAAACCTGCCCCTACCAAAGCCCCTACCTGTAATCCACATAAATGGGCCATCAGAAAGATCAAATTACAGAAATACTTCCACAGTTCAACTACTTTCAACTTACCAAATCTAGAATAAACTCCAATGCCATTATGCCCAATGCGAAACCCACCGCTCATTCCACCCTTCACAGCCTGAGTTTTTGGCAGAGGATTTGCGAGCCTAGCTCTGGCTTTCATCTTAGAATTCAACAAGTACACATAATCAAGCAATGTTAATATACCACTTTGATTTGGCAAGTTCAAGCATTCTGTAATTGCATAATTATTGACAGATGAAGAATGAAAAATTAAAACTAGACACTAACTATTAGAAATAGTTATTGGTAAAAGATTTAGATAGAATTAGAAGAATATGAAAAAAAATAAAATATTAAAATGATTAATATTTAATAAATTGTTATTTCCCAACTTTTTCCATGTCAAGGGAATCAATCGATTCATTTTCCAACCTTCTGGCATAAAGCCCTAAAAGAAAAACCATAAGAAAAATAAAAACCATAACACCAATGCAAACTTCTATATTATATCGATACAAGAATGCTTAAGAAAACCATAAAACAACTGCAATCTTCTAGAACCATTCTATATCAAAATGCTCTTCAGCGGCAGTAGTTTCCCTGTAAACTTGCAAGTAAATTTGCACCAGGTATAAATAGATTACAGCAGTTTAAATCACTGCAATTTGCTCAAAGTAAAAGAGCTTTCAAAAATTCTACAAATGGTCAATCTATTAACGAGTAATTGATCATAGATTCTTAATAGAGCTTAATGATTTTAGGATCTCCTGAGTTAAAATCCATCATCCTCTAGCGATGGGATTAAACAAAACTCAGTGCTCTCAAGCTTCGCCTATTTTATATAACTCAAAGATGTAAAACTGATCATCACTGCATTTGCTTGGACTGAAAGGGATATTATTAATACCTAGCCACTCCTGTTTAAATGTATTCTCACTACCATGTAATGGTGAAGATTCTCCACGTGCTTTCCATCATTTTTTAGCTTTTATAACTTTTGACAACACCAGACACCTTACACCCATGATTTGGAGCACATTTTGAGTACATACAAATTAATTTCCCTAAGGAGTTTTAATTTTATAAATCTACAATTACACAGGAGATGTTGTATGGATTTGAGAATTATGCAATAAGAAGTCTTTGTTATCTAAAGTTAAATGCACCAAAAAAGTAAATATTAAACAGGTTAACTAAGGAATGATTATACTATAAGAACTATTAGAGTGATATAATTGAAAAAAGACCTATGCAATTTAGACATGTGCAAGAACAATAAAAAATACATCAAACATATGAGAAGATAAAATTAGTGACAGAAGATTAGAAAAGAAATAGGGAGAAACTAAAGTAACATGGATAAAAAATGATCAAACGGATTTGCAAATAATAACTTCAACAACTTTTGCAACGCTGAATAGGAATAAAAGGAAATGAGGACTCACAAAGCCAACCCAAATAAGTTGGGTAAGGCTAATAATGATGATGATGTTGAGTTGTATTATTACATCATCTAACAAATAAATCTTTCAATTAGCTACTCAACATCTAGCTTTAACCACAACATTTTCTCCAGTTAACTAAATACATCAGGTCCAACTCTGACTCTAGCACCTTATCCTCAATTCAAAACAACTAACACCAGTTTTAATCTGTACCTTTTACCTTGATTTAACCAGAATGAATGCCATGATAAAGCATTTCATTTTTTTAGTCCGATATAAAAAGACAAAGTAAACGCACCATGTTCACAAGTCAAGGGAAAAAACACAAAAGCTAAATTATGATTCCAATAAAGGAAGAAGATAAAAAGTCACAAAAATTGAACAAAAACAAACAAACAAACTACCTTAGATTTTCCATCACCCAGTTCAGTGTCATTAACACCCTCAACGCATGATACAGCTGCTTCATGGTTTGTAAAATTTACAAACCCAAAATCCTTTCGTTTGGCAGTTGACATATTTCGTGCAAGGACAACCCGCTCAATCTCTCCATAACTTTTAAAATGCTCCTTAACTTGGTCTTCATCCCAGTAAGGTGGTAGCCCATCAATAAACACTGATTTCACCTGCATCGAATATAAAAAACAGCTTACTCATATCTGCTAATAGCTCAAAGAAAGATTTGGATAATTATAAATAATGCTGAAGGTTTATCAGTCTATATGCTATGACAAACCTGAGCCATGACTTCTGGGTCAGGTTCACGTAGCGGCTCACCAAAAGCTACTTTCGCTGTCCTTTCAGGATGGCCAAAAATCACATCTGGCTTCTGGAGCCTCTTGTAGGCAGCCATTGCATCTGCATGGCAAGCAAATTCAAGGAAGGCAAAGCCCCGACTCAAGCCTTCGTTTTGTGTGTCTGGAACAAGTGTTATACCCTCAACTGACTCTATGCCGTAGTCTCTTAGCTTGCGCTTGACCTATTCATAAAAAAATGTTAGATTATGAATCGTTGGCATTACAATTAATAATAAAATATAAGAATAAAAACAATGGGAAGAAAGGGCATACAGCATCTTTAGTCCAAGTATTGCAGATATTCCCTAAGAAAAGAGTGTCATTATCTTCACTGGGTGCAATGCCACAGCGCTTTCCGCGTATCTGAAGAATAATATCACAATGACAATTTGTAAGAAAATGAACAAGACCGCAATCCATCTAGAGACAATGTAATTAACAAATATATTCCCATTGAAATCCAAAATTATCATCGACAATATAACACATTAAGCTTAGTAAGAATTTCACAAAGGCTTGTACAATTTATCCTTCACACTGAATAAACTGACTTGCAAAATTACATAAACGACACTAATGTTGTCGGGCTGCAATTTACGCAATAAGCAACAAAAAATCACTTGATGAAGTATGTGCAAAACGGGATGAAAAAAAACATCCGTGCGAATCTTACCAAAGGGTTTTTCATCTGTTCAAGAGCCCTGGCCACATGTTCCTTGTTAGCAAACTTAACAAAAGCAAAGCCCTTGTTTTTGTTAGTAGCATAGTCCTTGTGCAACCGCACCTCGACAACTTCACCAACCTTTTCAAACGCTTTCCTTAAATCATCCTCCACAGCATCCCGGTCCAGACCGCCAACAAATATCTCCTGTTCCTTTTTTATCTTTCTTGCTTTTGCCATATCAGAAATTTGAAGCTGCTCCTCCACGTCTAGCTTGGGGCCTTCTTCATCATCCCCCACCACTTCCAAGTCCTCTCCTTCTACTTCTCCTTCTCCTCTCTCTGCAGTTGGAACCTCCACACCAGTTTCCTTCAAGCTATCCCGCTCTACTTCTTCCTCTATCTGCTGGTCCTCAAAAGCATCTTTTTCATTTTTACAATATGATTCATCGACATTTGGGTAAGTTGCAGTTTCATTATTCACTTCCGGACTAGCTTCAGGTGCATCCTTTATGGCCGCGCTACTTTCTTGCTTGATCTCTTCCTCAATCTCTGGCCCTTCCCCAGAAACCACCATATCGTCTGCCTCATGCTTCTTGTCGGATGTATCCTCAAGCTTTACCAACTCTTCTTGCAAAATAGCGGTACCGACAGACTGCAAACCCTCCTCTACATCTTCCTTGATCTTTTCCACTTTTATTTTGGCGGAGGTCTCTTCCGTAGTTTCCGTCTCTTTGGGGGCGGAAATACCGGCCACCTTCCCACCCTGCGGTGTCTTTGCTTTAGCACGTACCTTCTTCTCAAGTGATTTCTCCGGCACTTCAACAGTATTCTCTATTTATTTAGCATCAACCAAAAAATAAATCAGAAAACGAAAATCTAGGGTTTGCACGCAAAGACTAGCCAGCGGTGACAAAGAAAGGATACCGCACCTTCAGAGTCAGTGATAACGGCAGCGACCACCACGTTGGCTTCGGTGGCCTCGGCGACCGCGGCAGCTTTGGGTGTCGACTGCTTCCCCCTGGCCGCCTTCGTCCCCGATGCTTTAGGTGTCGATTTTGGCGCGGATTTGGGCGTCACTTCTGGTGTTTTCTCCGCAGCCGCCACCTCCTTCTTGGCTTGCGCCGCCTTCTTCCCAGGACCAGATTTGGGCGAATCTGTCTTTCGCGTCCTCATGCTTCAGAACTAGAAAGCCCTAATGGCTATTGCTTAATGATTTTCCTTTTCCCGGAAAGAAATGGTTGAAGATGATGAACGTATACCTACGCCGAAGTAAGGAATGGGTCTGCAACCTTGAAAGATGAGGTTTTGCGAAACCTTAAAACGGTGCAATCCTGACGGAATAGGGTTTTGTTCGCGGAGAGAATACGCGACAGCTTATCAGGGCGTAAGGCCTGAATTGATGTTGGAAAATAACGTATTTAATATCTGTCCCAATTTTCATATCATATACATATTAAATATCTAAATTTATTATTTATATAAATAATAGGCTAATTTTTTAGGGAGGATCATGTTAATAATAATAATTAACAAAAAGAATAGACTTAGTTAATAATTTAAAAGAAGCAAACTCGCGAACATAATTGGCGCATTTACATAGTTTTCCGCCTATTCTAAATACGCCATTGTTTTTGGCGTCTTTGAGTTAGATTGATATGAGAGAGAAAGAAAGATTGCAAAGAGAGGAAAAAAAGGCCAAATTTTAGGAAGGAGCGTGTTTATTGGTACATTCGTTGGAAGCAGCTTGTTTTAAAAAAAATTTGAAAAAGAGCTAATACGCTATACTGTTCAGCGCATATAATATATGTACGGTACTGATTGGCGCATTCTTGCGCATTCTTTCAAAGAATGCGCCGAACTTAATGGCGCATTCTTTGAATACGCTTAACGTGTCAGCGCATTCTTGAGAATGCGCTCTTTCGTACAGCGCATTATTTACGCATTATGTCCTACCACGTGTTGTCAGCTCGAATTCAGCGAGTATTCGTCTTTAGCGAGGGCAAGATCCGGATTTTACGCATTGCATGTGCTCAGTTGCGGATATTGATGGAGGCCGTTGTCTGGGTGGTTGGCAGATGATAATTGCTTTAAATGCAGTGGGCTGCGAAATCCCTATAAAATGGGGCAGCTCATCTAAGTTATCTCCAACTCTTCTTCCAGCTTTGGCTCACTCAAACAGCCGGCTTTACATTTTCTTTAAAGGTATGTTCTTAAATTTTGGTTTTGTTTGAAAGCTTTTTTGTTAATTTTGAAAAAAATATTGTAAGATTATTAAGCAGTGGTTAATTGTATTAGTAGAGCTAGATATTGTAATTTATCATTGTGTATCTGTTGCAAATTATTTAGCATATGAACGGCAGTGCGTAGCTTTTTTTTTTTTTTTTTTTTTTTTTTGTCTATATTGCTAATTTTGGAGCTCTTGCAGTTTGCAAAAATTTATTGAAAGATTAGTTTGCTAAGTTATATTTTACATAATATTTTGTTATTTAATCTATTGTTTTTAGACCCATAATTTTTTATATTATAAAATAATCCGTAAATAGGATCTGAGCTTATACAAAATTAAAAAAATAAGAAGACAGTGTTGTTGCTTTTTTTAATACAAAATTAAAATAGGATCTGAGCTTATACAAAATTATCTATAAGAAAGTTGAATTAAAAGCCAAAAAAAAATCAAAAGTATTTAAAAGTATGGTGACGGCCAAACTTTTTTGGAGCAATTGCTTTTAAAATCTGATGACATAGCCAATTTTTATAAATTATTTTGTACTACAGAATAATAGATTTAAGTTAAAAAAAAAAGAAGAATTTAGATTTTATTTTATTTATCATAGTTATAATATGTATCTGATGTTTATTTTCGTGGAGAAATAAGGTCCAATTGTTTGAGAAAAAAATTCCAATAAGTTGAAGGGAATATGATGGCATAATCAATTTTTGTCTCAGTAGAAGAGCTGAAAAAAATTAAAAGTAAATAACTAACAAAATCACAAGGAGCCTAAAAAAGACAATATTAAATCCTACAAGAAAATTCTTATAAAAATATTTATGAAAGAACCCTAATAATAATTTATTTTTACGTATTCATATATCTGTTAATAATACTACAATACTATATTATATTTGATAAAAAAAAAATACTAATGAACAGTTATTTTTTTAAGATCGGATAAATGATATTATTGTAGTAATATTATTATAATAAATTCAAATTAACTCTTATTAAATAATAGTATTTAATTACTTCTGTAGGTCGAATTATATTTAAAAGTGTTTACGAAAATAACTGTGAAAGATATTATAATTAATAATATAATTTTTTAAAAGTAAAATTTAATCTATTTTAAATGATAATTTTTCAAAATTAATTGTGTAATGACTCACTAAACATTATTATTTTTTATTATTTTTTTATTTAAATTATAAAATAAAGAGAGTTGAATTAATATAATGAGTTAACAGATATGACTCAATATATGGTCTAGTTATGATTTAATGGGGAAAAAAATAATCCAAAGAAGATTGAATGGATGAATGTGAACTAGGGGTGCAAACGAGTCGAGTCGAGTTCGAGTCAGAGGGTGTTCGAGTCAAGCTCGATTCTCAAATACCGAGCTCGAACTCGAGCTCGAACTCGAGTCGAGCTCAAAAGTCGAGCTCGAGCTCGACTCGGGACAGTGTAATGCGTTAATCGAGCTACTCGACGAGCCGTTGGATTTTCTAATTTTCATTTGGACTTCCCGGTTGCCCGCTTGGTTTGCCGCCTAACTTTTTATTTTTCCACCAGGTTATGATGTTCCGGCTTTGGAAAGATGCAAAATACACATATAATAAATGCTACCGTTTTGTGATGTAACTTTTAAATTTTATATATATATTTTTTTTGAAAATTTTGCAGCTTTGGTAATGATAAAGCAGGAGCATTAATTTCACTGGTTTTAAGCCGCCTAAATGCTGTAGCTTGTGCTATGAATTCATTTAAAAAATTATGTGTGATAATATAATTTTCAATTGCATGAGGACATATTCATATCTCATCCAAACAAATATGGAAGCTTCATACAATAATGTATTTGTCTTTAGTAATGGCAATTAAATGAAATTTTTAAGAAACTTGAAATCTATTTACTTTTTATTGAATAAAAAATATGAACTTCTGATTGAGTAGGTATGCCGTTAGGTGCTTTACATAGTAGTTTCGCTAATTATGAAAGTAAAATTTTGTTAACTTGAACCCTTGATTTTTGTATGTAAGAGAACAAACTATGAGATTCAAATTTGTTAAATTGAACCAAAAAACATACCATAAAATAATAGAATTGAACCTAAGCATTGGTATAAAAAATGTGAATAATTGGCATGAAAATATCTATTTTATAAACATGTTCTCAAAGTAAAATTATACTTTCTCCAAGTAGTTGATAACTAACACATAAGCATAATTCATTGAAATCCAAACAAAACCACCTAACTAATTAAATTTGTATATCACATAGGGTAGTAAAAAACTTCAAAATTTCATTGAGATATGATTTGAGATTTGTATTGGTGATTATAAAACTTTATAATACATACTTAGTAATGACCTAAATTTTCTTATATTTATAGTATGTCGCGATTGATGTTGTATTTCGATGGAGAGTTATATATTTTGGACGAATTCACACCAAGTTATATTGGCGGGAGGATTAGACCGCTCCTTATCGATGACAATATTTCCCTTGAAATGATAAAACGAAGAATTATGCGTGTACTTAGAATAAATTCAACAACAACCACTATTAACCTCACATGTCGTCTTCGAAATAATGGTGGATTTTGTGCGATTCATGTGACCGATGATAAGGTCTGTGAGTACATGTTGATGGAGGCTAGATCTCAAGATGTTGTTATATATGTGGAGGTTGAGCAAATTTCACCCATCGAGTTTGCTGCACTACCGGTTGAACTTACATGTGAGTATCAACCATTGTATTTCATGACCGTTTGACTGAACTTGTCCTTACACCTAACTTAACTTTTATGTATTAGGCTCACTTGCACATCTGAATACTTTATGGGTAGTGTAAGAGATATTCCGAGAAATATTGAAGATGATTTAGATGGTCGTTCTAGTTTATGGGAGCAACCTAGGTATTCAACAGGGCATCTTCCAAGAGTTCAATCTAGACAAAGTGTAGGGGAACATCCATATTACGACACAACTAATTATACACAAGCAGAAGATATCAACCCCTCAGTGCCTTACATGGAGTGTAATTCACAAAATGAAGATGAAGGATATGAAACGATGAATAGCGATAGTACTAATTCATCGAATGATGGTAGCCCAATATTGGATCCCCACATACCTATGAAACAATTTAACAATACGGAATGTAATGGGCAAGTGTTCATTGAAGAACAGACAACACAAAATCGTGATAAGATTGATGGCATGAACATCAATAATGATTTTGTCAAAACTGTTCGGACAACTCAACAGTGGGATGATGATGAAAATTTTGATGCGCCATGTGTTAACATTGTTGGTTCGATAGAAGTTACTACTCCAATAAAGTTATATGAAGGTCAGATCTTTCATACAAAAGTAGATTTGCAAGTCGCAGTTAATGATTGGTCGATCCTTCAGAATATTCAATTTTTAAATTCAACATCCAACAAAAACCGATTGAGTGTCATTTGTGCTCAACATGAGAATCCTGATCATCCTTGCCTTTGGCGCTTACATGCTGCATGAAAGTAAAAGGTTAGGTGGGTTATGAAAAATATCTACATGTGGACCTCCACATACATGCACCCATCCCATTTTGGTCAGTGGACATCATAATTGCACCGCAAAATTTATATTCAGACAAATCATTCCTATAATTAGACAACAACTGAACATGAAGCCGAAGGAGATTATAGCTAGAATGGAGTCTAAATTTGACATTAATATATCATATATGAAGGAATGGGACGCACGTATAAAAGCTATTGAAGCCACTTTTAGTAGCTACGAACAATCTTATTATTCTCTTTTTTGTTTTATGGAAGCCTTAAGGTTATCCCAACCAGGCACTATATATAATATTCACGTCGTACCTCCCGCATGCTTTAAGGCATTTTTTTGGGCATTCGGTCCTTCTATATATGGGTGGAAACACTGTCGACTGGTGTTGAGCATGGATGGGACATTCTTGCTTGGGAAGTATCGAGGGACCCTCTTGGCAGCTGTATGCATTGATGAAAATGGCGAATTGTTTCCACTAGCTTTTGTAGTGGTGGAATCAGAGAGCAATGAATCATGGATTTGGCTCTTACAAAAGCTACAACAACTTCTACCAACAATAGGTAATCGAGAGAAGTTGTGTATAGTTTCTGATAAGCACCCAGGACTAGTGTGCGGGTGCAGGGAAGTA